AGTGTGTCTAGACTTAAGTTGCTTGCCCAAATACAAGACTTGCGAAAAATTTCATATCTTTATCTACCGTATTTCAAAATTACGGAATTTACAAAAGCGAAAATTCATCTCTCCGTAAAGCGTTAAACGAAAAATAAATAAATTTAAATTCCGTTCTAACGACTTGCAAAAAGAAAATTGGAAAACGATTCCTTTTGAAAGAAGACTTTTACAACAGTCCTTTTCGAAAGGAGTATTTCATTATATATATATATATATATATATATATATATATATATATATATATATATATATATATATATATATATATATATATATATATATATATATATATATATATATAGCATTTCATGTATTTATAGGTTAGATCGAACAAAAAATGGTGATAAATATATTCCATCACAAATTTTGGTTAAATTAAGTGATGATAACGATGAATATTTCTTTGTAGAAATAAATTTTACAAAAAAAAAATGGTTTGTCGCATGTTGCTATAACCCTAAAAACTCTTTAATAAATTTCTAAATAATATTGGAAAAAATTTAGACTTCTTTTCAAGAAAATAGAAACATTTTATTATAATAGGTGACTTCAATGCCAAAGCAACAAGTATACGGAAGAATTTTGTTGTATTTACAAGTTAAAATTGCTCATAAGAGAACCCACTTGTTTTAAAAACCTAATCAATCTAAAAACAATTGACCTTATTCTAATTAATAACTCTTCAAGTTTCTGCCACTTCAACGCAATAGATATAGGATCATCTGATTTCCATAATTTAATAATAACGGTAATGAAATATAGTTTTCCAAAACAATCCAGAAAGATAGTCACTTACCGAAACTATAATAAATTTGATAAAACATTTCATCACTGATAATAAATTATCTTTGAAAACAGTTAAGCCCTGGCTTAAATAAGTTTCTTCATCAAATGCATAAATTATATTAGTTGAAAGTGACACTATCATATATGATGGTGTCACTTTCATTGTTGCTTGCAATATTTGCAGACTCCGATAAGCCAAACGCTATAGGGCAATTAACATAATTTCAGTGTAGAAAAAAAGACAATGGAATCATTTGTCATTTCTTAATTCCTGCTATTAAACTACGATGCAAATGACTGAAACTTATTGATTGGCATTTGAGCCACCAAACACTATGAGCCTATTAAATGAAGAAATTGGCCAGTTCAGAGAAATGCCACTTTTTGCTAAACATTTTAATTACACAAATTATGCTGAATGCTGTGTGAGATTTGATACGAAAACCTGCATTTTACTGTTTTGAAGCTAGAGACGGTTTCATAAGTGCCAATTTACTCTCACAGTCTTATGCCGCAATTTGACTAGAAAAAGGATTATGCTGAAAACTTTGTAGATCGCTATCTACCTAATCATATTCTACCTAATAAGTATTATATATATTTATTTACTGATACTTAATTAATTTGCTTTTTATTTATATATATACATATATTTATATATATTATATACGTGTTTATATTTATATATATATATATATATTATATTTTCTGTTAAATTAAGGTGAAATACAAACAATGCAACTTTTGGTATTAAAAAAATTAAAACGATAATGGAAAACCTTTAAGGTAAAAAATGAGGCGGCTCCATGTCTCATATTACTATTTTTATAATTTTTTACTGATTTACACAGACGCAACAAAATATTCAGTATTAAACCAAACTTTTTTTTTTAACCCACCCTAATATATACATGTTTATATATATATATATATATATATATATATATATATATATATATATATATATATATATATATATATATATATATATATATATATATATAAAACAAAATATTCAGTATTAAACCAAACTTTTTTTTTTTCAACCCACCCTAATATATACATTCATATATATATATATATATATATATATATATATATATATATATATATATATATACATACATACATGTCATATATATATATATATAATATATATATATATATATATATATATATACATGTCATATATATATATATATATATATATATATATATATATATATATATATATATATATATATATATATATATATATATATATATATATATATATATATATATACATGTTTATATATATATATAAATATATATATATATATATATATATATATACATGTTTATATATATATATAAATATATATATATATATATATATATATATATATATATATATATATATATATATATATATATATATATATATATATATATATATATATATATATAAACATGTATATATTAAAGTGGGTTGAAAAAAAAAGTTTGGTTTAATACTGAATATTTTGTTGCGTCTGTGTAAATCAGTAAAAAATTATAAAAATAGTAATATGAGACATGGAGCCGCCTCATTTTTTACCTTAAAGGTTTTCCATTATCGTTTTAAATTTTTTAATACCAAAAGTTGCATTGTTTGTATTTCACCTTAATTTAACAGAAAATATAATATATATATAAATATAAACACATATATAATATATGTAAATATATGTATATATATATAAATAAAAAGCAAACACATACATCCAAGTCTTCAGGTTTGGTTCGATAACAGAGAGTCGCAAAACCCATTCTGAAGTCCATTAACTAAAAAAAGGCCTAAAAAATTTAGACTTAGCATGATAATATAATTAAAAAATGTATATTTAATAATAGATTTAAAATAAAAATGTAAGATGCAAAAAAGAATGTAAAACTTACCTCATTTACCATCATATCAATTCTATATTTTTCTTTTTCTGTGTTTCCATCTAATATAAAAAATAGCAAATTATTTTCAATCACTTCAAAAATTAAAAAAATTAAAGGTTATTTTAAGGCCCTGTAGACATAAAAAATGTTTATTAATTATATATTACTTGAGATTTAGCCTCTACCTCCTGTCACTAAAGTAAAGATAAACAGGAGCTTCAGTACATACATTAATTAATCAACTATTAAAAAAAGTGAATTTTTCACCAATTTTTTTTTACAATAATTCTTTTTTCAATAAATTTTTTATCATATAATTATGATTTTTTGAAATTTTGGAAGAACTTTCATTTGAGATCCAATTTTTTTTTGGATAATATTAGTGAGTGGTTAAATGTTCAAGAACCTTAGGGCACCTCTAAAAATAAATTTTACTAAAAATTTCTTTAACTTATTGATAAGTTTAAACTTATCAATAGGTTAAATTTTTTTTTAGTAAAATGAAGTTGCATCAACTAAATTGAACAATTACAATACAGTTATAAAATATATAACTGTATATTAATTAATTAATTATGAAAAGAATTCTTTTCATAATTAATTTTTTAATTTTAATGTAGTTGATGCAACTTCCTGGTTGCAAAATAACTACAGTTATTATATAATTAATCATAATATTTCCCAACTTCCTGTGAAGTATTTTTTCAATCTTTTGATGTTTAGACATTCTTCCTGATGAACCTACTGATGGTGAAACAAACATTGTTGAAGAAAAAAATTAGATAAGTGTTTTTACTAATTTATTATTGCTCTGTATATATATATATATATATATATATATATATATATATATATATATATATATATATATATATATATATATATATATATATATATAAAATAGGTAATAACTAAAAAATAAAAATAATTCTAACCCTGTGTAATCAAACTTCAAAAGTCTTAAAAAAAAGAAAAGTACTCCTATGTGAAACTATACTCTCTCTGTTTATAAACTTATCATATGTTTTGTTTTGCATCAGCTAATTCAGTTGTGTTTAAAATGCGTTCAAAGCAAGATGTACTACACAAGCGCATTGTAAAGTTCTATCAAATGCACAAAAATAGTTTACTGTGAATTGTTTTAAAACCGAAAATGTTTCAGTTTCAACTATTTACCGTATTTCGGCAACTTAAACAACCAATCGTAGAGGTGGTAGTGGAAGACCAGCTAAAATAATGGACAAAAAGGGAATTCATTTGCTTCACGGTGATTTCATCAAAAATGTTTCAATAAGACAATGAGATGCTGCAGAAAAGTTCAAGTGTACGCAGCCTTTATTCTATGCAGATTTCTTTGGATATTTGAGTTCGTTAGTATACAAAAACAACTGGAGAGCTAAGAATTGCAAACAATTGATTACCTGAATCAAAAGATGCAAATTGATATAAATGTCAAATTGATATAAATGCTGTACAATCTTCCTGTTCCAACATCATGACAAAACTACGTCAAACTGCTGATGATGGACCATATTCGAATGTTCATTAGTTTTTTTTTAAAGATAAGTGATGTACCTTTAATTAAAATAAATATATTTTCATTTTCTAAACATTTGATTTTATTATAGCCCAATATGAAAACTCTCATTTTTTAGTTATAAATATATAGTCATGCATAGTAGTCACAAAGTTTCTTTCATTAACTGTAGTTTTTAATCGAAGGATAATCGAAGGATAATAAACCAGACCAGATAATAATCGAAGGATAATAAACCAGACCAAAAAAAGTTTAAAGATTTAATAAAGTTTTTTTTTTTAAATGATAGATTGCTTGTCTAAACCAAACGCTCAGTCAATGTTGCAGTACTTCCTTGTAGCAGCAAGCTATAAGATAGTCGACGTAGCAACACTCTGTACATGTTTTACAGTAAAAAAGCAACATTCCTTACCTTTTTTTCAGTAGAAGTAGCAACATTCCTTGCATGTTTTAACTTTAGAACATTAAAACGTCACTTAATTGTTGATGTTGCTTAAATGTAAAAATCTATATTATTAAAGTCTCTTTCAACTTGTATATAAGGAGATATACACCATGTGCTTGTTAGTACCACACTCAGCTTGTTTCTCCACGCAAGAGAGAATTGTAATCACAACTAGTAGTCTCCTTGACTGGCCTTCTCAGTCATGGGGATGCGAATTCTTTAATGGCCTTCTCAGTCATGGGGATGTAAATTTAAAAATATATATATATACATTATTAATTGCTAGTTTAGATGAGCACTCTGACGTCACACTTAAATAGCCTGTTGCCGGGGGCTTCAGTACATACATCGACTGACAAATAGCCCGACTCGCAGCTGAGTGCTGCTACATCAACTGAGGGTTGAAGAGGCAGCAATCTTTTTTTTCATTATTCTTTGTTTTTTCTTCTTTGTCTAAAAATACTGTATGCTATAAAGATAAGCAAAACTAGTGAGCAAATCTAAATACGCTATAGAAGAAGTTTTCAAAAATCGAAAAAACAGGAAGATCTTTTTTAATTTATCAATAACTACAACCAGTTATTTCAGTGTCAAAAATCTGTAATAAACTTTGAAAGAGTGAATAATTCCCTGATCTATTGGTTGAAGTTTAGAGTGGTATTTGGTTGTTAAAAATTGAGCTTAATAGATTTTAGATTATCATTTGCCAGGTGTGCTGGGCAGTTATCTATTATAAACACCACTTTTTTTTTTTTTTTGTAAACTTTGTATCTATTTCCCGTATTCACTCTTTAGACAGTGCACTATCAATTTTGATTTTAGTTTCTGCAAGGTAAGTGCTTAACTCCGAAAACAAATTTTTTTTTGGAACAAAAAGAGTTTTGTTTCCAAAAACAAGTGGCTCTGTTTTTGACAAAATAGCTGGGCTACACTACCTGCCAAAGAGTGAAATCACTTGATGTAGAAGCTAAGATGGGAATAAAAATATCTAAAGAATGGTCTGATTAAGAAGTTTCTTATTTTGGAGAAGATAGATAGCAACAATTAAGTTTGCAATCTAAGAAAAAATATTTGATCGCAAAGAATCTGGACATCAAGCTGCATTAAAGATAACATAAGAAGCTAAAAAAGAGACTCTTTCAAATATTTTAAAGTGAAAAACACGTGAAAAAAATATAACAGTAAACATTTTTCGAACAGCATATAAAGTTGAAAAACAATATTTATGGGTTCCTGAAACAAAAGGTCTTTTTCGTATTTTTATTTTTGGCTTTATAAGCATTAAGTTTTTCAAAATTTTTGTTTGAAAATAAAATTGCTTCAGAGTTGGTTCATTCGCCTGGAACAAGCCATATCTGTAAAACATGTAGTGTAAATAATTGTATTATATATAAACTATTAATGTGTTGCGTCAGAAGGAATGTTGTTGGCGCGTCGCATTATATATTGTACATAATGTTTATACTGTTTATTATACTCTCGGGGGTATTTGCAAATGTATATATATTGAGTAAAGATATTCAAAAAGACAGTAAGAAATAACAAATATATTTTATTATTACAAGCTAATTCAGCAATGAGTATTGTTCTAAAGTTTGCGGATCTGGTACCACAATACGATGGTTCAGGTGATTTTTCAGAATGGATACAGAAATTGGAACTGGTAGCAAAACTTCAAAAAGTTGACAAGCTGCATGTGGTGCTCCCCTTATTTCTTTCTGGTGGGGTGTTTGCCATTTATCAAGGCCTAAGTAATGAGATAAAAGAAGACTACAATGAAGTGAAAACTGCACTGACTACTGCCTTCTTTGCTTCTCCGCTAACAGCATACGAAGAGTTCGTAAATCGCCGTCTTAAAGAGAATGAGTCCATTGACGTATATCTTGCAGAATTAACAAGACTGAGCAAGCTAATATCATCACACGTAAGCGAAGAGTGGATAAGGTGGGCATTTATTCATGGATTACCTGATGAAGCAAGAAAACAGCTGCAAACTGCATGCTCAATATCAACAATGTCGCTGTGCCAGATTGCTGAAAAATCCAGAAGTTTGGTAATTTTACGTCGCAAAGAATCGTGTTTTCTAAGTTGCGTGGATTCGGTTGTCGTTAGTTCAAGACAGGTTCCTAAAGGACGCGGAAAAAAGAAGCATTATGGAAATATCAAGTTGTGGAATATAAAGGGCAGCGATACTGTCTAACAAGATTAGGTTTGGTTTAAATGTGGCGCCCAGAATAATGACAAAAATCTTAAAAAAGGTATTATCCTTAGACAAAGTTGTCAAGTCTGGGACGGATTCATTTATTGATGACATCATTGTCTATAATAACATAGTGTCAAGTTGTAGAGTTCTTGAAAAAATATGGCTTGGATTTTAAGCTGCCAGAAAAACTTGTCGGTGGGCGGGTGCTTGGATTGCAAGTGTACAAACAAAACAACCAAGTGCGTTGGAAACGTGACAACATACCCAAAGTTCCTGAAAGAAAAATGACGCGTCGGCAAATCTTTTCGTGGTGCGGACAGCTGACTGGACAATTTCCAATAGCAAATTGGTTGCACCCTTCGTGCAGCTATCTAAAAAGGGTTTCGAGTAGTTGTGGATGGGACACTTTGGTAAACGATTGTGTTGTCAAATTAGTAAGCAGTTTAAATGAAAGACTTACAAAGGAAGATCCCGTTTATGGGTCATGGAACGTAAAAAATACTTCAGCAACAGTGTTGTGCGATGGAGGCAGTTTAGATGTTGGCATAGTTCTGGAAGTGGCTGGGGAAATAGTAGAAGACTGCTCGTGGCTGAGAAAACAAGATGATGCAGCTCACATTAATCTCGCAGAGTTAGAAGCTGTGATAAAAGGAATCAATCTAGCAACAAAATGGGGATTCGAATGTATTACCATAAAGTGTGACTCGGCTACTGTTGTTGGCTGGTTGAAATCTTTAATCATCGGTGACAAACCCATTCGAGTACACGGTCTTGGAGAACTACTTGTCCGTCGCCGGTTGTCGTTAATTGAAGACCTTGTGAAGGAGTGCAGTATACAGTTAAAACCTTTCCTAATTAAGTCAGCAGAAAATAAAGCCGATGCTCTTACGAGGGTACCACAGAATTGGCTGCATTCAAACCATTCTGCAATGACAGCAAATCTCGTACCGCTTGATGTGAAGTCGTTTCATAATCTTCATCACTTTGGAGTAAATTGAACCATTTATTTGATGAAACAGACATATCCGAAGGAGAAAATTTGTATGACTGATACAAAACTTTTTACGACTGATTCAATGTCTTGACATTGTTTATTGGTAGATCCTGCTCCAATCAGATAGGAAGAAGGAAATCTTGAAGTTGGAAAGAGCTGGTACCGTTTAGCTATTGACGTTACCTACTATAAATCAGAAATTTATTTGTAACTACTATAAATCAGAAATTTATTTATCATTGACAGTGAGAAAATTTATTTGTCTATCATTGATGAAAAAGGAGCAACAGTGTGTTTTCACCTAGAAGAAATTTTTCAAGAAAGAGGACCTCCTTGGCAAGTTCTTCTCGACAACAGCAAGACCTTTCGCTCAAAACTCGTTGGTGAATTATGCGCAGAATGGGGAGTGTCCATCCTATTTCGTTGCGCTTACAGGCCATCTGGAAATGGAACTGTTGAACATCATCATCGCACAATCAAGCGCATGGCAGCAAGAAGTGGCAAAGATCCAATAAAAATGATATATTGGTATAACGTGGCTCCCAGAAAAAATGGCGAGGAAACATCGCTCCCTTACAAAGCTATATTTTCCTATGAAACCACACACAATTTTTGCCAAAACTAATGAGAAAGTTCTCCACAACTACACACACCAGTTTTACAATTACATTTACAGCCCCCTGCACCAGTTTTAAAATTACATTTAGCAAAAGTACTTCACCAGTAGATTGCCATAACTAAGAAAAAACCTTGTATTGTTTACATTTCACAGACACTGAAGCATCACATCATGATGTTTCAGTGTCTGTGAAAAACATCATGATGTTTCAGTGTCTGTGAAATGTAAACAATACAAGGTATTTTCTTAGTTATGGCAATCTACTGGTGAAGTACTTTTGCTAAATGCAATTGTAAAGCTGGTGCAGGGGGATGTTGTAAGTATGTTGCTGCATCATTATAACAACTAACTAACTATATTGAGTTAGACATTAAACTGGTCCCAGCAACTAAAACATGTACTTATATAACTATTAATGTGTTGCATCAGAAGGAATGTTGTGGGCGCGTCACATTATATAAAAAACAGTATAAACGTTATGTACAATATAATATATAATGCGACGCGCCCACAACATTCCTTCTGACGTAACACATTAATAGTTTATATATAATACAATTATTTTGTAACAAACAAATATATGACATTCGCTTTGACACAGACAAGAGCTCTGAGAAAAACTACAGTTTTCATAATTCTAATAAATTTTTCATGAACTAAAGTTTTATTTTCTAGATTAACATTTAAAAAACTCATAAATAAAACAATATCTACTTCAAAAAAAATTTATTCGGATTGTTTATATTTAAATGAGAACAACTGCCACAATACATTGCGCATTTGAAAATTTATGGGAAAGGTCTATTGCTTAGTTCTAACATATAATAAAAATACAGGTGAGTTCCAGCACCTTTTTTTTAAGAAAAAAAGCTCTGTTTATCAGTATCACTGTTTATCAGTATCACTGTCTGTCTTGCTATTTTTACACAGACTAAGTAAAAAATATATAAATAAACTTAAATAAAATAAAAATGTTGAAAAAAGAACGAAAAAAAGATATACTTTAAGTTTTTATTGAATAGAAAACTTTATTTCAATTTTTAAAATGACAGTTCGCACTTTCATTAGTTGCTATAGTAATGCAAACACATTTCAAACATCTTTTCATTGATTACTTTTTTGTTAATTTAAAATTAATTATAATTATCAATATTTTCTGATAAAATATATTACAATTTATACAATACAATTTATTCTTAACATATACAATTTTTAACGCATACAATTTATCCCTAACACCTGTACTGAAGCAAATGCAGCACCAAGTATCAGTATGATGCCAGCAGTTTGCAAAAAATAAATGTATATATGTATATTAGTTGTAAAAATAAAACGGATCTAAGACAACCAATTAGGGATACACAATACATCCCTAAATTGGTTTTCTTGACTGCATTGCAAATCATATTAACAAATATACTTTTTGAAGTAGTTCACTATGGGGTTGTTCATAAAGCACATCACGCTATTTCCGTCAATTTATACCCCTAGCGTAGCAATTTAAATATATTTTAAATTGCTATGCTTTACTTTACTTTATAAAAATTTTAGGTTCTTTTAAATTTTTCTGTATAATAAAAAAATAAACAGACAAAATTGTTTACCCATATTATTCTTTCTAGCAATATATTGAATGATCTAATTTACAAAAAAATGTATATTAAAATAACAAATTAATTAAATGGTATTAATGATTTACAAATATAAATCATCTATATAAACAAAAAAATATATATGTAGAAGAACAAAGATTTTAAAGGATGTTAAAGAGTGAAAGTAAATCATAATGAAAAAAATTTCAATAATTAAATACAGTTATTTTTATGTTACTTAATTTAATTTTTACAAATAGTAAATAATAGCCTGAAAAGAAATTAGTGTTTAAAAAATAAAAATCAATTAAAAGTAACATTACTGTTTTAAATTGATTAAAAAAATCGTATAAATTGAATGGAAAAAAAAAAAAATTTTAGCAAAAAATAAAGCAAAATCATAAAAAAAATTTTATTAAATATATTACAGCATTGCTCTGAGTTAACTTGACATCTCCATCAATAAAATAAGGAAGCTAAAAAATAATTATTAAATACATATATATATATATATATATATATATATATATATATATATATATATATATATATATATATATATATATATATATATATATATATATATATAGACACACACACACACACACACACACACACACACACACACACACACACATATATATACCTATATCTCTATATATATCTATATCTATATCTATCTATATCTATCTATCTCTCTCTCTCTCTCTCTCTCTCTATATATATATATATATATATATATATATATATATATATATATATATATATATATATATATATATATATATATATATATATATATATATATATATATATATAGACACTAGTTATGTGCCGGGTACCCAGTTCGGACCCGGGGACCCGGCAATTCGACTGTTTTACCGGGTACCCGGTATCGGCCATTTTGTTGCAGTACCCGGCACCGGGTATCTTCAAATTGATTTTTTCTTAAATTTAAACTTTAACCATTAAAGTTCTTGATATAAGTCTAAAAATATTATGTAGTCAATAACCACAAAGTTCTATTAATTTAAAACAATCTCACTTAAAATATTTTTTAATACATTTTTGCAAAAAAATTTATACGGATACAAAAACTGTAACGCTAAATGAAATAATTCGAGAATACGAATAAAAAGAATGGGAAAAAAAGTTTTAGAATAGCTTCTTTTTATTCTGTTAGAACACTAGATAATTTTTAGCAATTTAGTTTTGAATGAAACGCTTATAATGCTTTCGAACGCTGATACCACTTTTTATTCGAATCAAGCAAAAATCATAAAAGTAGAGATATAAGGTAAATATTATACACATTTTTTATATTTTAATTTTGATAATATTTATAACAAAATATTATTTAGGCCCGCTCCACCAGGAAAGAAAAATAATTTTAAACTAAATATAGTTATTAAAAAACTGTTGCACAACTTTTAAAAAAAGTTAGGCCCTACAACTCAGGCCATTTACCCTGCATTGCGGGGTTTTGCTAAATGGTACTTCCGCCACATAACTTTTGGTTAGTTAGCCTAAAAAGCGTTTTTTGTGTGAATAGTTCAGCGCTAGAGATTTCACAAGATTTTATTCCAACTTTTAAAAAATGGACTCGGTGCCGAGTACCCGGACCCGGTTTTTTCAGCCGGGTACCCGGAATCGGAGACTCGGCATAAACTGGTTCCGGCACACCTCTAATAGACACACACATATCTCTATATATCTATATCTCTATATATCTATATATCTATATATATATCTATATATATATCTATATATATATATATATATATCTATATATATATCTATATATATATCTATATATATATATATATATATATATATATATATATATATATATATATATCTATATCTATATATATATATATCTATATCTATAATATATATATATATATATATATATATATATATATATATATATATATATATATATATATATATATATATATATATATATATATATATATATATATATATATATATATATATATATACAGTTGACTCTCAATATCTCGAACACTAAGGGGACCGGAAAAAAAGTTCGAGATATCGAGAGTTCGAGATAAAGGGAAAAATAATAAGAAAAGGGTTGAAAATAAATAAAATTGCCCAATTTTCATTAAAACAAGTTATTTTCTGACAAAAATCATTAACAACAAAAACTACAACGTTTGGAAAAAACCTGTTATCTGATATTGCTTTAAATTATCCATCTCTTCCATCTTCATTAAATCCTCAAGTATTAGTGCTAGCGATTGTATTTCATTTCCGTATTTTGAGCTGTATAGCGAAGCATTTTGAATAGTTTCAAAAGCAATTTCTAATTGAATATCAGATGGGCATGGCGGGGCTTCGACGTCAATATCTTCGTCAACGCTATCTTCAACTTCATTATCGTTGTTTTCAAAATTAGGGTCTAAAATCTGAGCAATGATTTCAGCATCAGTAGCAAGTGAACCGGTGGTTATTACATCGCAATCTAAACCAATGTAAGACTCTGCTGAGAGATTTTCTTGGACCGCACGAGGATCTAACCCTCGCAAACGGTTAAGTTCTTCTGTCAAAAATTTAAAAGGATGATCATTATCAGCTTCTTCAATACTCTTGTTTGTTTTGCTGATACCAGCTTTTTTAAAGCAGTTGATGATAGTCTCCTTCGACACAGCATTCCACAAAGAAACAAAATCTTTCATTGCTTGAAGTATAGAAATTTTTGGCATGGGTTCGTTATGATCGACAGCCTTGATACACAAACGCACAATTTTGTGTCGATAATGAGCTTTAAGACTTCGTATTACGCCTTGATCTATGGGCTGAAGGACAGATGTGGGGGGAAAAATATTAGGTTGATGTTACTTAGCCCTTTAATGTGTGGGTGGGCAGAACAGTTATCCACCAGGAGTGCTACTTTTCTGTCTTGAGCACGAATAAATGAGTCAAGTTTCATTACCCATTCTGTAAAAAGGTCTCCGGTCATCCAACTTTTTAGCTGTGTTTTATATATTCAAGGAAGTTGTTTAATGTGCTTAAAACACCGTGGATTTTTAGATTTTCCAAATACAAACATAGGTAGTTTTTCTCCCATTGGACTCCCTGCTGCTATGCCTGTTAGTCTGACTTTACTATTTTTTCCCAAAACATTTTTCTCGTGATAAATGGTATGTTTTGTTTGGTAGGCACTGGTAAAATAGTCCAAACTCATCGGCATTGAAAATGTTTTCAAGTTTGTAATTCAAAAGCAATGTTGGAAGTGTAGTTTCATTCCACGAAGCAGTCATGTTATTTGTCATGGCAGCACTTTCGCCAAAGATTATTTTAAAGCTGATGCCATTCCTAAAAATAGGAACAGTATAATTGAATTTTAATTACACGTTTAAAAAACTAAATAAATTAAATATAAACAGATACATGTTATTTGTTTATATTAAAATTGAACAAGATTTGACAAAATTTAACTGACCTTACTTTCCAATTATGAAACCAACGATCAGATGCTTTAAAATCTAACTCTCCTAATGCTTCTGCGAATTTTAGTGCCTTTTCTTTTAGTATGGTACCATCAATTGGTACTTGTTGACTTCTTTTTGCAAAGAACCACGTGTATATGGCCTTGTCTACATTTTTGAAATTACCACTACGAAGTTTCTTCGGTTTTGATTTTGTGCCATTTTTTTCCAGTGACGTTAATAAGTTGGTTTTATTTTTAATCCAGGTTGATAATGTGTTCTTTGGGACTCCATACTTTTTGGCAACCTTTTTGTTAGACATCCCTGTCTCTAGGTCTTTTAATGCCTTGCATTTTTTTTTAAAGATTTGTTCGTGAGTTTTCGTTTAACGAGCGGCATGTTGTTGCATTTGATAAAAAGAATAAATATATTAAAGGAAAACTTTTCAGAAATTTGATTCTTAAAAAAAATTGAATTGAAAAATCGAATTGAAAATATTTTTTTTTCGAAAATTGGAATTTAAAAAAATTAAATTTTATTAAAACATTTTTAAAAAAAAAAATGTTGAAAAGTTCGAGATAACAAGAGAAAATTGCCCTGTGGACTGAAAATATTGTTCGAGATACCAAAAAGTTCGAGATATTAAGGTTCGAGATATCGAGAGGATTTTAGCCTAAACTAGTATGTTATGTCCATGGGACCGCTAAAAAAGTTCAAGATACTCTAAAGTTCGAGATATCAAGTATTCGAGATATCGAGAGTCGACTGTATATATATATATATATATATATATATATATATATATATATATATATATATATATATATATATATAGTCCTTAAAATTAGGGATTGCATTTAGCCATGCCAACCTAACTGTCGACCTAAATGTCATTGAGATTGGCAAAAAAATGCTAACCATGTTGCTAAAAATGTTGATAACGAAACATGATTGTTTTGACCATATTTTTAACCTTTATTGCCAATCATGTTTTATGGTAACCCCTTTGTTTCAAATTTTTTTTGTGAATCTGATGCTGACCTCTAACAGTTTAAGGTAGGCAATATAAGGCTAAGCGGACCTCATTTTTCCTAATTCATAGGGCTATGTATGTATGTATGTATATATATATATATATATATATATATATATATATATATATATATATATATATATATATATATTATATATATATATATATAGGCTTTCACAGGAAGACGTGCGATTTCATGTCTTCACGCAAAAAAAAAATGTTTTAACGATTTGACCACAGCGTATTTTTAAAATTTAAAAACGCGCTACAAAAACTTACCTAAACTTATCTGAAAAAAAAAAATTTAAAAATAAATCTTAACGAAAGAGAAAATAAAAAAAATACTTAGTTAAAGCAAAAACACAAAAAAATAAATATATATACATAACGCATCTCAAACAAAACTGATCAAACTAAAATGCTTAGTCTATTTTATTTACGCATTAAAAAACCTTTTCAATCTTTGATTCAACATTTTTATATATTTTTTATTTGTTTAATATGTTCAAAAGTTAAATATTTCTCATAAAAAATACATAGTTATATAAACAAAATAAAAAAATATTTTATAAATACTTTTTTTTAAATTAATTATAAGCGTTTTTTTTTTACTTCATTAAAAGCGTTTCGATAATATAAAAGCATTTAAGATCAAACTTATAAAGTTGTTACGGTTTTCTAAAACTTTAATCATTCTTATATTTAAATTCGTTAAAGAGACTTCCGTTGTCGAAGAATGTCATCGTTTATAAAATCATAACAATTTTTTATTTTTTAATGAGATTTATTTTAGAAATGAACACTTTAACAATTTATATGTTTTAAATTAAAAAAATATATACAACTGTCAATTATATTTAAAAAACAAAACTTTTTTTCAGTAAATTGTTACTTTATTTAAAATCGTTTCGCTAATATAAAAACATTTGTTAAGAAGTTTTGATGTAATTAATTTCACTTTTTTAGAATATTTTTTATATAGCGCGTTTCTAAAATGTTTTTTGAATAAGCCGCCGTCAAACCGTCATAGCAAAATGTAACTTGCGTGGTCATATAAAGACGTGAAATCGCACGTCTTGCTGTGAAAGCCTGATATATATATATATATATATATATATATACATATATATATATATATATATATATATATATATATATATATATATATATATATATATATATATATATATATATATATATATATATCCTTATAGTGTAGTTGAAAGAGACTTTTAATGTAAAAAAAGTCTCATTCAACTACAATTTTGCTACCTCGAAAATTAAGCTACATTTTATTGTCGTCAAAATGTCAAAGCAATTAAATTAATATGGAAGTACATTAAATTTTATTGTTTTTTAAAAAAACTGCAATAATAATGAATAGAAAGTTTTTTTTTATTAATGGTGTTTTTTTAGTTATTTTATTAAAATATATTTTTAAAACATGCGCGGAGAGTGTGCTACATCAACTATCTTATAGCCTGCTGCTACAAAGGAGTGTTGCTGCATCGACTATCTTATAGCCTGACTCGCAAGGGAGTGCTGCTACATCGATTGACAAATAACCTGACTCGCAAGGGAATGTTGCTACATCAACTGAGGGTTTGGTTTTTACTATTAAATGTTTATAAAACTAATCATAGAAAATGTTTAGAAAACCATATCATAGAAAATCAGAAAAGGTTATAAAAAAAAAAAATTATATAAATGTAATTACGTATAATATTCTTTGAGAAATTAATAAAATGGTTTGTTTTAAAAAATTATTAGAATTAATTTTTTTACTTTATTTAACAAAGTAATAAGTAAACTGAATAATTTATGTAATTTTATAATTTATAATAATTTACAAAGCATTTTGCATAATACAGTAATTTTTACAAAACATAATATAAATATATTTCCTTTTCAAATTTTAGTTTTTTGAGCTTTGATTTTTTATCTTACTTTAAAATTTTATTTTTTAGATAAATTATTTTATAAATTTTCAAAAAAATTGTAAAATGTATAAACAGCCCTCAGTGGAAAGTAAGAGCTCTCGCCCACACTCCCCTTAAGTGGTTTAAGGGAGCAATTTACGGCTCTCGCAAAGGTATAATTTTTTCATAAATAAAACCACTTTCTTTTTTTCTCTATTTTAAGATATTGATTAGGAAAATTAATAATTTTTGTGCAAACTACATCAAATTATAAAGACAAAGTTTCAGATTAACTTTTTTGCTTACAAAATGGAATTGTTACTATTATTTTTATTTTTTTCTGTAACAGTCAATACCACTAAAACATTAATGACAATATGGTCAAGCAAAGTTGTTTATAAAAGAAAATCTCTATCATAACTAAAATAAAAAACATTAAGTCATTTTAGAAACAAACAATTTATTGCATAATAAACTATAATTCTTTTTTAAAAGGCATGGTAACGACATAACAAAACAAAAAAAAAAAAAAAAAAAAAAATATGAATTGAAATGCAGATGCGTTTAATTTAGATTAACTAGACTAACTGATTGGTTTCTCAAATAAAAAACCAGTTTCTTATAAAAATGCTATAATGAAAAACAAAATTAAGTTAAATTAAAAGAGTTAAATTGTTTGGTATATATTCTTGCAACATTAATGTTACAAGCATATTCTTACAAGTATAAAATAAATTTTTTTAATTTAATAAGCAATTTTTTAATGAATAAACAGATGGCTTGCACAAAAATCAAAAGCTCTTGTAAAAAGTTGTTTGGAGGAGCAGCTCGCATGACTTACCATGATTGTTATAACAGGGTTTTTCTCCTCTCTCGTAGGTAAGTAAAAAAAGTAAAAAAGCTTTCAAAAGTTTTTTTTTTAATTAATATATTTCCTGCTCAAACCAAAACCTTCAGTTAATATAGAAGCATTTCTCGCATGTTCTACCTAATTGCCAGTCAATGTAGTAGCACTCCTTACATATTCTACCTACCAGTCAATGTATGTAAACAGTAAAAGCATTCTAGTCAACTAATTTGCCAAAAAAATATAAATAAAAAATTTAATTAATTTCCTTAATGAAATTTAATGGTTTTCACATAAAATGTACTTGATTATGTCTTATTTAAACACAAAGACTCATTATATATATATATATATATATATATATATATATATATATATATATATATATATATATATATATATATATATATATATATATATATATATATTTTTTGCTGACCTCAAACACTTTGCAGTTTGCAATTAGGATTGGTATTGCTGAATGCCAATCCTAATTGCAAGGACTGTACATATATATGCATTATATATAATTAAATATATATATATATATATATATATATATATATATATATTTATTTAACATTATCGCTTCCAGCGAGGCTGCAAGCAACAACTACTACAGTTGGAAGTTACTAGAAGAGAAAAGATAAAGTTTATAGAGCAAGATAACAATTGACAGATGACTTAAAAGATTGCAAATTATATGAATTAGGAAAGCAAAATGAAGGAAGCAAATTCAAAAAAACTAATATTCAAGGAAAAAAACTAAACAAATAAGAGTTTTTGGAGCACTTAATAACAGTCACAGAAAAAAGATGAGACTTAATTGAATGACCAGTAACATGATAATAAATTTTAGTAGATGGCACAAAAGATGATAGCTCTTTAGAGCAATGCTCTAAAGAGCTATCATTAAAGTTTACCAGCCACTGTGAGCCCCATGTTGTAGCAGAAGTGAGATCTTTTTCAAGCTATAATGCCCCCTCCAGGCAATCAGAGAGTGTTGACTTCTTATCATGACAAGAATAAATGGCAAACAATGCTACCTTAGATGTGAGAATATCTGGCAGATCACTAATGTAAATTAAAAAGAGTATAGGGCCAAGGATTGAACCTTGAGGAACCCCTGAAAGTACAGGATAAGAAAAAGAGTGCTGTCCGTTGAGGACAACTTTTATACTACGATTGGAAAGGAAGGACTCAATAATCTTAAAGATGTTATCAGATAAACCGGAAGACGAAATCTTATGGAGAAGGCCAGCATGCCAAACTTTATCAAAAGCTTTAGAAATGTCAAGAGCAATAACCTCAACCTCTCCATTTTTATCTAATGTAAAATAAAACCTTATACAATAAAATCGGTTATTACTGTTAGCCAATCAGCTGTAGAATGAGAAGATTGAAATCCATATTGATGATCAAAAACTAAGTTATTAGACTCAAGATGAGAGATTAGGTTTTTGTTAATAAAAGATTCAAAAACCTTGCTTATGATAGGAAGAAGACTAATGGGACAGTAGTTAGACAAACCAGATTGCTGTCCAGAATTTTTGAAAATAGGGATAACAGATGCCACTTTCCAGCAAGCTGGAAAACAAGACTCCGATAAGCTATTGCTAAATAATTTTGAAAGTATAGACTACAGCTCCGGAGAACACTTCTGCAAGAATGCAAAAGGTATGTTGTCCGGACTAAATGTAAGAAGCACATTTGTCACCAGGTAGACAAAAGATTTCTACCTGAGGGCCATCACGAAGAAAATTACGGAAAGAGTCCCAGTCAGCTTTAAGGTAGTTGTAAGAGGTACGATGATATGGGGATTCTGATAAATGAGAAGAATTAGTTAATAATGTTAAGGAAATCATGGTTAGAAGAACCTAAGAGTGAATGTAATAATAGTCAATGGGTTGTCTGGAAAATGAGTTGGAAAGTTGACTATTTGAGTTAGAGATTGAGAAAGGCAAAAGTTCTAGGCCTTCACGCCTACAGAATCACTAACACTACAGCCAAGCCATTTAGTGTGATGAGCATTAAAGTCAACAACAACAACAATGATATTGGCTTATAGATAAAGAGACAGGGCTTGGTCAATTTGATCAGAAATAACATCGAAAAGAATGCAGCCTTGAGAGTGATCTAGAACAAAGAGAAAGGCTATACAGTGAAATGGTGCTAAACAAAAGCATATAAAAGAACAGTCTGTGGATTCAAACCTAGTTTCCCAAAAAATGGGTGAATTCTTACAAATGTAAATGCACAGGCCAAGCATGTGACTATTGGATTCTTTATGAATTAAAGGAAGATAACTATCAACACTAAGATCACAAAATGAGACAGTTGAACTCAAATTAGTCTCACAAAGAGCAAGTTTCAACAGAAGAAAAGTTATATATAAAAGATGCTGATAAATTTATTTAAACTATACAACAAAAAGAAATATCGACCCTTTTTCTTTAACTGTAAAAGCTGCTGTGGATTCTGGTCAAGTTTTTTTAATGGACACTATGAATGTAAGTAAATCATAAACTTTTGTTGTTTAACAGAAAAATTCTATAAAACTAATCCTAACAATGATATTTTTAAGTCTTTACTTTAATATTCGTATTTCTTAAAAGAAATAATTTCAACAAAGCAAAAACATAATTAAATGGTAACCTTTAAATAAACTTAATTCTATTATTTTAATTTTTATTTTAATAAAAGCACTTGAATAAGCTTTAAAAAATACAAAAGAAAAATTAATTAAAAAACAAGAGATATTATAAGAAAAAAGATTTTAATTCCTACATTCGGAAAGTCCAATCCAAGTGTATACTTCACACTTAACCATGAGGTCCTGTCATATTCTGGGGCTTAAAAATAAATAGAAAAAACATTATATATATATATATATATATATATATATATATATATATATATATATATATATATATATATATATATATATATATATATATATATATATATAGTTTTATACATAAAAGTTATAAAAAATATATTTAGGAGTATATATATATATATAGTTTTATACATATAGTTATAAAAAATATATTTAGGAGTTGCTGAAGACTCTAAAACATCAGATAGATCCTAATATTATCAATAAAAAATATTTTTACAAAGTATGTCAGCCAGGATAACAATATAAGTTTAAGTTTAAAAAATTAAAAAAAGAATTAAAATTTTTAATTCTAATATTTATTTTTAAATTTGTCTCTCTAATAATATTAAGGATCCATCTGACATTTAAGAGTCTTGAGGATCTTTTAAAACAACTTTTATAAGAAAATATTGGAAACTTGATGTTATTTTATCATATAGGTCAAAGCAGATATTTTTTAAATATCTTGCTTTAGAAACCATTCTACACACATGCTTCAAATTTTATTTTTTTAAATTTATATAAATCATTAATTTATATAAATCAAATTATAAATCTAATAATTTAAAGAGCCAATCTAATACACACATAATTCAAATTTTAATAAGAACATCTATGAATGATTGGAGAAAAAAAGACTAAGTCATGCAAACAAAGATAAATTCAACATTTTCACAGATATCTTAATGTTAAAAAATATTGCTAAATGCAAGTTTAAACTATAACTGAACTATAACTGAAAAATAAAAAACACTGTAAAGAAGTTGAAAAGGGAAATCATCTGTATCCATAACAAAGTAATATTACATTCCAAAGAAAATATTATCTAGATGATTTAAAGAAAAACAATTTAAGTTGAAATGTTGAAAAAAATCTATAAAAAGAGACAGGATGTAAACCTTCTTGCATGAGGATTGGACAAAGCATTTAATGAGTAGCTTTCAAATACCAGACAAAAACATTCTGAAAATGAGTAGCTTTTAAATACCAGACAAGAACATTCTGAAAACATTTCAAACCATTTCAAAGCATTAAATTTTGTAAAAGAAATATACATTGATACTTACATATTTTTTTAAAGTTTTTCACTTATATATAAATTTATTTTTACAAGAAATAATGATATGCATAAAACTCTGACTCTAATTTCATCCTCCTAATTTAATAATTCATATATCAATTTTTTTTTAAATTTATTTAAAGTTAAGTTAAAAAGCTGGAATAAAAGGTTTTTCAAGTAATTCAACTGCATTGATTACCTTCTAACGCATAATGAACAAATAAAACCCTAAAAGGAGTAAAATTGCTTTTTGTTATTCATTCATAATGAATCATTAAAAATTATTATTTATTCATAATGAGTCATTATGAATCATTATTATCATTCTTCTTTTGCTTGAAGAAGATTAGGTTGTCACCATTAGTTTTACAAAGTGTAAGTACTGCACTCTACATATTTAATTAACAAGATCTTAGATGCAACTGAAAATGAAAAATGTCCTCGATCCCTATGAATTTATGAAAATTGAATTTATGAAAACATATGATTTGAAGAAGTATCAGAAAAAGATAACAACTACTTCTGCATTAAAAAATTCAACCAATCAGTTGTGGCAACACAATGAAGATCTTTTCTTAAAAGAATTTATCATAAAAACATGGTTGTCTGCTCAGGTTATTCTGCTACTGGTAACATGTAACCTAATACAGCCTGCTTAATGTCCTGCTTTCTTGTAGGATACACTTTTTTAAGCAAAGGATAGGAAAAAACAACTCTGACTTAAAACACCCCCTGCCTTGGGCTTTTGATTGAGTAAAAAAGTGATGGTGTCTCAATAAAAATACTCATCTTGGGCAGATGTTAAACGCATCGGCCTACTGGCTTGTAGAAGGCCTCCTAGGCAAAGACTTAAGGGGTAAACAGATTCTATCTGTTGTCCAGTCCCGCACCGCTTCTTCATATATTAGGCTGGTGCAGATGTATTTATATTACATTTTTTCCAGTTTAGGATGTTGAATGCTGGATCTTCTTGACTCAATGCATGGGTTTTACATGTGTCTCTGTTTTTATGACTAGGCAACTCATTCTATTATCTCCTGATGAGGATACAGCTCCAAAACTCAGTTTTATGGTCTGAGGCCGGCTGATAGTCAGGTTTCTCAAATTCTGTGCTAGCTCTCAGAGAGGCTGATTCCATCAAAAAAAATGTGAAATATCATAGTACTAACAGTGCCATGTTGCGCATGGATGGTGTCCTTGTTTGTACTTTTGGTGCGGATTGTTGAGGCCACATTTGGAGCCCTTTGTTATGGCTTAGGGTTTATTAATATTAATGAAATATAAAGAGGCGATTGCTTGGGCTATTAAATGGTGTATTGAGTACTATCTATGCTTTGAGTCAAGTTCTTTAACAAATTTAAAAATTACTAAAGTAGTAAAAACTATAAACTAAATAAACCGTTGTCATCAAGTTTTCTAAACCTATTATTTACTAACAGTCGTGGTCTTCAAAGTAACTTTTCTTCTGTTGAGTCTTATCTCTTGCAAAGATCACCAGACCTACTTGCTTTTGGTAAGACTAATTTGAGTTCCTCTGTCTCATCTTGTGATCTTAGTGTTAATGGCTATCTTCCTTTAATTCATAAAGACTCCAATAGCCACATGCTTTGCCTGGGCATTTACATTCGTAAGAATTCACCCATTGACTATAATACTCATCACACAGAATGGCTTGGCTCTAGTGTCAGTGACTATGCCGGCGTTAAGGCTCACAACTTTTGCCTTTCTAAATCTCTAACTCAAATAGTCAACTTTCCAACTCGCTTTCTGGATAACCCAAATCATTTACCTTCTCTATTTAATTTGTCTTGTTTCTGATCCTAGTCAATGCTCAGTTTCTCCACATTCACCCTTAGGTGCTTCTGATCACGATCTCTTTAAAACTATTATCTAATTCTTTTTATTTATCAGAATTCCCCTATCATGGTATCTCTTACAACTGCCTTAAAGCTGACTAGAACTCTTTCCATGATTTTCTTTGTGATGGTCCTTGGGTAGAAATCTTGCCTACCTGCTTATGGAATGGCATGGAATCTTTTATTCCCTCTTGATGATTCCAGGTCAAACATCACTCTTCTCCTTGGCTTACCTCATATTGTGCTGCTGCAATTTCCAATCAAAACCATTACTTCCATATCTATCAGCAAAACAATTCTCCAGAAATATTTAATTTTGTCTAATGCCAAAGCCTGCCATTCTCAGGTCATGAAATTTCATATTTTATCTTAAAAATTAGACTCTTGTGATTTCTGGAAAATCTTTAACAGTATCAATAATAAGGGCAAATCTGTTATTCCACCTCTCTTGTATGGTTTAGACTTTATCACCTCACTTAAAGAAAAACCTGAATTGTTTGCTAAGAAGTTTTCATCAATATCATCTTTTGATTTCACTAGTTTTGTTCTACCTGATATAGCCATCATACAGGTTGATTGGTTTCTTGGCATATGTATCACTCCAGCTTCTGTATCTAAATGGACAGCACTCTTCTTCATACCCTGTAACTTTAGGGGTTCCTCAAGGTTCTATCCTTAGCCCTACATTATTTATATTTTACATTGTTCACTGATGATGCTACCATTTATTTTTGTCTTGATAAGAAGCCAATTCTCTCTGATTGCATGGAGGGGGCATTTGAGCTTGAAAAGGATCTCATTTCTGTTACAGCATGGGACTCACCTTTTATTGAGATAACCTTTCTCAAAGTTTATAGGATTTAAGAAAGGTTATCTCAATAAAAGGTATTAAATTTCAAACAACTTATTGTTATTGATTTGGTTAAGAAAGGTTATCTTTGTTAGGATATTGATTTAGCTTCCATGGTAACAGTACTCAAAGCAGTTTATAGTTTTTATAATTTTTATGCAAGTTACTCACCAAAAGAACTCTATTTGTCTACTACCCTCAGAAATGCAGAAGAACTCTAGTCTTTTACATTCCTGATACTTAACTTCAATACCAATTAATGGATTTTATGGTTTAACGTCAATTTTTGAAGTAATTTAGTTTTTTTAAAATTATGGTTAACTTGGTTAAAAATAAGAAAAAAATACTGATCAAACAGTGAAAAAAACAACAACTGAAGAAATTCATTATTACATTAATACTTCTTAATTCAATTCTTCAAGTCATTTTTAACTATATACACAGACAGGTGAAATCAGAAGATTAGCTTTGAATGCCTCAAAACTGTTTGAAAAAAAGTTCTAGAAGTCAATGAAAATCCCCATCCTCAGTGATGAGGTGTTGCCATCCTCATCACTGTCCTTATCATCTCCAGCTGGGAGATTTCTTCTATATCTCATGGTCTTTTTTCTTAGAGCATTATTTTTTTTTTACTGCTTCCTTTCTGAGTTGCTTCAAACATTTATCACCTGTTAGGCTTTCTTTGTAGCAAAATCTGATGACTCTAGCCGACCTACCATGTCTAGAAGTTCCTGCTACTTTTTGCTTTCTTTTTATATGTCCGAACCATTCTGCTCAATAAAGAAGTAATAAGCACCATTATCAAAACTATATTTAAAGAAAAATTTAAATTATTTTTACAAATAAATAAATTTTGTTTTCAATTCAAACTCTGTGTAATGTTTATAAAATTAAAACTATTTTTAAAAAATATTTTTTACAAACTAGTTTGTAATAATAGTTTTTAAAAATAGTGATTTTAAAAATAGTGATAAAAAAAGTAATTAAAACAATCAAATAACATTGATCAGATAAATAATTTTAATAGTATTAAAAGTATTCATCTGATCAATGTTATTTGATTGTTTTAATCACTTTTTTCACCAATTAGGGGTATTAGGCCCCTGTTAATTAAAACATTTATTTTTATAAACTAATTTAATTAATTAATAATTAACAAAACCGCATTTCTCTTGGAAATGCCATGCATTAAAAATATTAAATAAAAATTAAGTATGAAATAAAATTTTAATAAACAATCTCTAAGACATTCATCCAACTGCCACTTTACTTTGCTAAATTTTCTAACTTTGTTTCCTCTACAAATATTAGTATTGCAACGAGTTTAACTCATAGATTACATATACAGTTAGTTAAAAAGTTAAAAAAATGTATTTACGTAGTCTCTATGTACTTGTATGGAAAATAAAAAATTTCAATGTAGAAATAATTTTTTTATTCAAAATAAACAAACACTTGCTTAGCTGAAGTTTTTCAACAAGTTTGAAGGAAACTGAAAACTGGATGAAGAAACCACTCATCTAAAAATTCTAATTAAAAATTAATACCATTGTTTAGAAACCAATGGTATTGATTTTCATAGGAACCTTTCATAACCAAAGGAACAATTAAGGAACTTTTCATAACCAAAGAATGGTTATGAAAAGTTCCTTGATTGGTTCCTTGAATGCTCTCACTTACTTATAAAAATTATGCATTTTATTATATGAACTGATAAAATGAAGCTTAATGCCCCCTGTTACTCTATATATCCAAAAAAAATATTACCAGCACCCGACTCATAAGTCTTGTCAACAAAATCAGTTTTAGTATACCCAAGAAGTAGTCGAATCGGCTGAGCGAGCTGATAAAAAATGTTATAAACATATTAATACATTTGTCAGTAATAGTTTTTACTTTCTGCAAAATAAAAATTTAAATAATATCATCTCAATTTCACGAAAAAATATTTTTACATATATAAGGTATATTATACCCCTCTAATTTTCCAGTAACCAAGAATAGGAGTCATTATTTACTCGTTTATTTTGTTCTATGATACAAAAAAGGTTATATAAGAAACAAGTTTAAAGATCAATCTACTTAAACCATAGTAATAAAAAATTATTGTAGTTTGTAATTTAACTGCATCATTATGGACTAGCACTGTTCACTGATACCCGTAGTTCACGCAACTCCAGTCAGGCGGCTCAAAATACGTCTAAAAAATAATTTTGGGGTGTGGCTAGACACGCTGCCTTTTTGTACCGTTATGATACCAAACCAGTGATTCCAAAATACTTATTTTAAAATTTGGATTAAGATGAATTGATATTATTCAAAGCGTAGTTTCGTTTTCTTTGACATAATCAAAATTCACACTAAACTATTTTTGGGCGAAGAACGTTTTTGTTTAAAGTAAATTTGTTTAAAGAAAATCTCAATAAAAAATAAAAATAAAAAAACAGGAGGGGTAAAAGTTGTTGAAAAATGACACAGTTCCTAAATAAGTTTAATTTGTAATTTTGTGTGCAACTTATAAAAACTCTTATCTTATTATATTATTATAAGTTTTACAAGTTTAATATGCGCAAACTATGCACAAATTATAAAAAATTTAAAATGTCTTAACTTAAGAAATGCTACATCAGCATTTTTTACTTTGAATGCCCTTTGCATCCGCAAAATTCACGAACAAAATACTTTAGTGGGATGGACCAAGGAGGTATTATAGCTTAGGTGGAGGGAGAACGAAGCCGAAAATGGATTTAAATTGCGTTACAGTCTTTGTAGTATAATTACTCCAGGAGCAAGTCAAAATGACGCTTTTCCAAAAAATTGACAAATTTTGAAATGTAATCAGTAAGCTCAGACAGTTGTAATCGAAATGGATTAATAAAATAAAAGTTTGTTGGATATGTTATTAACAACTATTCGATCAATTAAGAACTTAATTAAAAAAAAAATTACGATTAAGGTGAAGTAATTGTTTCTTACGTACCTCACTTATAGGTATAAATATCAAAGCTTTAATCTCTACTACCTATTTGAACCTTATTTTTTGCTTGCCTGGTCAGCTATAAGTTAGTTACGTTCTTTAAGACTGTTTTTTTGGCCAGGAACTTATTAAATCTCTCCAGGATTTTATTTTGTGTTGGAGTATTTTTGATGGATTTAAAAGCAAATTGCTTTATTCTAAATATAGAGATACAAAATACATGGCAAAAATACTACCAATTCTTTTCTAAACATTTATTAATTCGATTCTAATCTAGAAATTTATTAATTCAATTCTAATCTAGAACTTATTATTAGTTAGAAATTTGTTATTATTAGTTGTTTAAAAAGCACAACAAAAAATAACAACAAACTGACTTTAAATATTGTTTACGAATTTTTACAACTTCCATTTTTTATTTGCAATGCTTCAATTGTTTAAGCTGTTACTACTAAGACTGTTCTTAAAGAAATGACGTATTTTAACTTTGTTCTCCCTCCAGCTGAGCTATTATAACTCCTTGGATGGACCAAGGAACTTTATTAAACTTTTATTTTTTTAATAATACTTTAAAATTTTATTACGTTATAAACTTTAATAAACCACAGTTGTCCAAAAAGAGGACCAAACCTCTTCGGAAATCAGAGCCGACAACACTGGCGGGGGAGGGGCAGTTTTTTTTTCCAAAGAAAATTCAAGATAAAGAGGACTTTTTTTGAAATATACGATTGTGACCCCCCCCCCCCCACTTCGAAACCCGTGTCGTTGGCCATGGAAATGATCCAAAAAATCCCATGGAGGGGTGATTTTATAGGTTATGGTAATCACTTTAAAAGAAAAATTAAAATCTTTTTATTACGTCTACAGGAGAAAATCACATTTAAAGTTTTTGCCCAATTTACACTAAGAAACTCAATTTTAAAAATGCATTTCAACTGCTAAAAATCACTAAAAAAAAACCTTTTGTTTTGTCCTAAATTTTGCAAATACCTTTGCAAATACCCAACAACATTGTATTAACCTATTATTTAATTTTTTTTTCCTTCTTCAATAGAAATTCAAACTTAAAGTCAATAAAATTGAAAATGTTAGCGCCAAATTTTGCTGCTGAAATAACGTAAACAAAAAATTGGCATTTTTGTTAAAAGTTAATTTGTCTTTGTCAAAAAAATTTCTAATTCAGCAAAAATTCATGTTGATTGCAAAAAATCTGCTTGCTTTTTGTGTTTGAAGAAAATTGATCGCATATTAACTGATTTTTTGATCAAATCAAGAATATTTTTATATGTAATATTAATTTCAATGATAAAAAAATTCCAACTGGCATTTGCAAATCATTTAGAAGAAAACTACAACAACTTAACTCTGTTAGTATTATTAATTTCAATTCGATTATCATTAAGCCATATACAAAATATTCTAGTGCTTACCAGTGTATAAATTGTAGAGTAGCCAAATCAAAGCTCAAAGAAAATCTGTCACAGATTGAGCTTAATATATTGAATCAAAAAACAAAAGTCCACCCTGAAACTGACAGTATCAAAGCTTTTAGTCCCAAACTTTAATCATCACAGCCAGCTAAAAAAAGATGCAGTAGTTATTTTTCAGTACTTGCTAAAGTCCATTCTCACTTTTTTACTATAGGTACAAGGCGGGAAAATGTAAAGAAATATGTAATAGAGGACCTTAATAGTGCTGAACAAATAACAGTTGATTTAATCTCTAAAAAAGATGCTTCTCCAGTAGGTACTATCTCCCGTAGGTACTATCTCCAGTAGGTACTATCTCCAGTAGGTACTATCTCCAGTAGGTACTATCAATCTTAGTGGAGTTAAATCTTTAAAAGTTCTGCTAGTTCAGCGATGTATAAGCAGAAGTTATTTACTGCTGAAACATTGGTCCAAGTTCAAAACAGTACGAATCTTTCCAATGTTGGTGTAGACTTGATTCAGCTCTAAATAACTCAATGGAAAAAAAATCTGTTGAGGCAAACGTAAAGAGAAACTTAACAACCTCTAGAAAAATTTGCAGATTTTTTCATAATGTCAAATTTTGTCTAGACAAAGAAATGAAAAATCAAGTTGGAAAACACTACAAGAACTTAAATGCCTTAAACATAATGCATAATTTCATGTGACATGAAAGCAGATCCTTCAAGAGTGTCATTGGCGCCCGGATCAAAAATGAAGAGCGACGCCCTTTATTCAAACTAGTTAAAGAAATTAAAATTTTAAAAGTTTTTTGAACGCAGCAGTTATTTGTTTGTAATACAGCACGTTGTACTTTTGCACCATTAATTCTCATGATTGAGAAATGATTTTTTGACATGATCAAAAGCTTTAAAACTATTAAAAAAATAAATTAACGAAACCTTTTAGAAAGGTAAATAAGGCACTTAGAAATAAACTTTTTGAGCTTTTATGGTCGCCCAAATAATGACATTGTCATAGCTAACCTTTTTTAGCCAAAAATCTTCTTTAATCAAAATAATCAATTACCAATAACGCGCCCATGGTCAAAGGAGAGTTCTTTTATAATTTTTAGTTTACTAAACGATTGTTTACCCTCAGCAATTGATTTAGGAATAGTGTTGAAAATGTTGCAACTGTATGGAAAAAAAGCGTTCAAGCTTCTTTTACAAGATTAGATTGAACATCGCAGAAATTTTCTAAATCAACATTAAAAACGTTCACTTTAAGTTCTTTTTTTTTGTTAAAGTGGAAATGGGCTGTGTTTGATGCCTCGTCATAAAGTTACTTTAGATTACGCTTTCCTTTAGTAGCGAGTTCAACTTGGAATCCTAGCGAGTCAGCTACAATTACAGAATCTTAGAAAATTCGCAACCAAGTGTCCCTAATCCGTTTAAGATTTTCAAGCAGCTGTCCAATCAAATGTAAAATCATCATCAATGGTAATGGCTGCAGATTGTAGAAGACGACTAACAGCTACTCATTGTTCAAACATTGATTTTCACGACATGTTTAAGAGCTGCCAACATTTCTCTTGGCAAGTGGTTTAATCAAGTCGATAAGAGAGCTCCATATTGTCATAAAAAGTCTATGCAGTAAAATCCAAGTTGCTTCAGTGAGAATTTTGCATTGAAAAAAACTTGCACTAAAAATAAGTACCAAGGTACAGCATTTTTAAAGAGTACTTTGATCTCAATGACTGATTCAACTGCGTACACATCAGCCAAATTTAGATTGTGAGCGCTACCAGGAACGTAAAGAGCTTAATAAAATCGCAAAAAATCGTACCTTATTAAAGCTCGAGCTTCTTTGTAAGCACCTGATATAATGGTCGCACTTTCGTGTCCTTGACCGCGACATTTTTGAACATTTATTCTCAGCCTTAAAACTACATTAGTGGTTAGTTTAGCTATATCAACTTCTTTCTTCATCAGAAAAGTTTCAACACACAAGTATCGTTCTTTGATTTTCCAGCAGTTAATTTCTCTTCCATAGAGAAGAAAACGAGTAACAAAGATTATCTGCTCAGTATGAGATATATTAGCGGTACAATTGACTATGATTGTGAAGTAGATATTATTCTGGATTTCTTCGAGTGATGCATTTTGGCTAAATTGATGCTGCTTTACAAAATTTACGAGTTTCCTCCATTGATCCCTAACTCTTCTGTTCTAACGAAGAAGGGATAATTACCTACTTTTGAAAACTGCTTTTGTGCTGGGTTTTTCTTTTTTAAATAACTACATCTTGATCTTTTTGACTCAAAACAACTGGCCACAAAAAAGAGTTAGCAGTAATTATTACCAAATCAGGTTGAACATCACATTCTCTACGGTAAGATATAAAGTTTCTCGTTCTGACTCAGATGATTAAGTTGGAAATTCTTTAGCTCAGATTTAGGGAACTTGTTTGAGCACACTACTGATCTACAGTTCTTCAAATCACACATATTGAGTGTAGTAAATTACACATATTGAGTGCACCAAAGATGCAAAAACTCAAATATTTGATAAATTTTTGGGTGCTGGTAGTGGCAAAGTTGCTTATTTGTCTAAAAAATGCAAAGCTATGATTCTTTTGCTTCAGAGTCAAATACTATCTAAATAAGTACCGCTTTTATCGTAAAATCGACAATAAAGTCTCGTGTGTTTGTTTTTTTGCAAGAAGTTAAAGTGAACCCATGGAACGTATTACTAAACGAAATTTTCAGTTCTATTAGTGTTGACTGTTTTAAAGCGATATTTAATCAGTTA